AGTGTCTAGAGGGAAATTTATAGCAATAAATGCCCACATGAGAAGCAAGGAAAGATCTAAAATTGACACCCTATCATCAAAATTGAAAGAGCTAGAGGAGCAAGATAAAAAAAAAAACTCAAAAGTCAGAAGACACACAAAAAAATCAATAAATCTAGGAGCTGATTTTCTGAAAAGATCAATAAAATAGACCAGTAGCCACAATAAAAAAGAAAACAGAATAATCAAATAGATGCAATAAAAAATGATAAAGGGGATATCGCCACCAATTCCACAGAAACACAAACCACCATCAGAGATTACTACAAACTCCTCTATGAACATAAACCAGGAAACCTGGAAGAAATGGATAAATTCCTGGACACTTACATCCTCTCAAGCCTAAACCAGGAAGAAGCCGAAACCCTGAATAGACCAATAACAAGGGCTGAAGTTGAGGCAGCAATTAATAGCTTATCAATCAAAAAAAGCCCAGGTCCAGATGGGTTCAGAGCCGAATTCTACCAGACATACAAAGAGGAGCTGGAAACACTCCTTCTGAATCTATTCCAAACAATCCAAAAAGAAGGAATCCTTCTCAAATCATTTTATAAGACCAACATATTCCTGATACCAAAACCCGGCAGAGACTCAACAAGAAAAGAAAACTTCAGGCCAATATCCATGATAAACACGGATGCAAAAATCTTCAACGAAATACTGGCAAACCGATTGCAACCGCACATCAAAAAGCTTATCCATCACAGTCAAGTAGGCTTCATCCCGGGGATGCAAGGCTGGTTCAACATATGCAAGACTATAAATGTAATTCACCACATAAACAGAACCAAAGACAAAAACCATGATTATCTCAATAGATGCAGAGAAGGCCTTTGACAAAATTCAACAGTACTTTATGCTGAAAACTCTCAATAAACTAAGTATTGACAGAATGGTCAAAATAATAAAAGCTATTTATGGCAAACCCACAGCCAATATCATACTGAATGGGCAAAAATTGGAAGCATTCCCTTTGAAATCTGGCACTAGACAAGGATGCCCTCTCTCACCACTCCTATTCAATATAGTATTGGAAGTTCGAGCCAGAGCAATCAGGCAAGAAAAAGCAATAAAGGGTATTCAACTAGGAAAGGAGGAAGTCAAATTGTCTCTTATTTGCAGACGACATGATAGTATATTTAGAAGACCCCATTGTCTCAGCCCAAAATCTCCTGAAACTGATAAGCAACTTCAGTAAAGGCTCAGGATACAAAATCAATGTGCAAAAATCACAAGCAATCCTACATACCAATAACAGACTTACAGCCAAATCAAGAACGAACTGCCATTCAGTTCGTTGCTACAAAAAGAATAAAATACCTAGGAATACAACTAAGGATATAAAGGACCTCTTCAATGAGCACTACAAACCACTGCTCAACGAAATAAGAGAGGACACAAACAGATGGAGAAACAAACATTCCATGCTCATGGTTAGGAAGAATCAATATTGTGAAAATGGCCGTACTGCTCAAAGTAATTTACAGATTCAATGCTATTCCCATCAAGCTACCAATGACCTTCTTCACAGAACTGGAAAAAAAACCACCTTAAACTTCATATGGAACCAAAAGAGCATCCGCATAGCCAAATCAATTCTAAGCAAAAAGAACAAAGCTGGAGGCATCACACTACTGGACTTCAAACTATACTACAAGGCTACAGTAATCAAAACAGCATGGTACTGGTACCAAAACAGAGATACAGACCAATGGAACAGAAAAGAGACCTCGGAGGCAATGCCACACATCTACAACCATCTATCTTTGACAAACCTCACAAAAACATGCAACAGGGAAAGGATTCCCTGTTTAATAAATGGTGGTGGGAAAACTGGCTAGCCATGTGCAGAAAGCAGAAACTGGACCCCTTCCTGACACCTTACACTAAAATTAACTCCAGATAGATTAAAGACTTAAATAAGACCTGGGGCCAGGTGCAGTGGCTCAAGCCTGTAATCCCAGCACTTTGGGAGGCTGAGGCGGGTGGATCACGAGGTCAAGAGATCGAGACCATCCTGGTCAACACGGTGAAACCCCATCTCTACTAAAAATACAAAAAATTAGCTGGGCATGGTGGCACGTGCCTGTAATCCCAGCTACTCAGGAGGCTGAGGCAGGAGAACTGCCTGAACCCAGGAGGCGGAGGTTGCAGTGAGCCGAGATCACACCATTGCACTCCAGCCTGGGTAACAAGAGTGGAACTTCATCTCAAAAAACAAAAAAACAAACAAAAAACAAGACCTAACACCATAAAAACCTTAGAAGAAAATGTAGGCAAAACTATTCAGGACACAGGCATAGGCAAGGACTTCATGACTAAAACACCAAAAGCATTGGCAATAAAAGCCAAAATAGGCAAATGGGATTGAATCAAACTCCACAGCTTCTGCACAGCAAAAGAAACAATGAGTGAACGAACTGGTAACCAACAGAATGGGAAATAATATTTGCAATCTACGCATCTGACAAAGGACTTATACCCAAAATCTACTAAGAACTAAAACAGATTTACAAGAAAAAAACAAACCCATTCAAAAGTGGGCAAAGGATATGAACAGAAACTTTTCAAAAGAAGACATATATAAGGTCAAGAAACATGAAAAAATGCTCATCATCACTGGTCATTAGAGAAATGCAACACATTGAGATACCATCTCACGCCAGTTAGAATGGCGATCATTAAAAAAAACAGAGACAACAAATGGTGGAGAGGATGTGGAGAAAGAGGAATACTTTTACACTGTTGGTGGGAGTGTAAATTAGTTCAGCCATTGTGGAAGACAGTGTGGCGATTCCTCAAGGATCTAGAAATAGAAATTCTATTTGACCCAGCAATCCCATTACTGGGTATATATCCAAAGGATTATAAATCGTTCTATTATAAGGACATAGACACACATATGTTCACTGCAGCACTGTTTAAAATAGCAAAGACCTGGCACCAACACAAATGCTCATTGATGACAGACTGGACAGGGAATATGTGGCACATATACACCACGGAATACTGAGCAGCCACAAAAAACGATGAGTTCGTGTCCCTTGTGCAGACATGGATGAATCTGGAAACCATCATTCTTGGCAAAATGACACAGGAACAGAGAATCAAGCACCACATTTTCTTTCAGGCAGGTAGTGAACAATGAGAGCACATGGACACAGGGAGGGGGGCATCACACACTGGGGTCTGTTGGGGGGGACAAGGAGAAGGACTGTGGGGGGTAGTAGTTGGGGAGGGATACCATGGGGAGAAATGCCAGATATAGGTGATGGGGTTGGAGGTAGCAAACCATATTGCCATGTAGGTACCTATGCAACAATCCTGCATGTTCTTTCCATGTACCCCAGAACCTAAAATGCAATAAAATATATATATTTAAAACAAACAAAAAGGTTAAACATCATCATGCAAGTTAAAACCATAGTGAGATACTCTATTAGAATGGATAAAATTAAAAAGACACCACCAAATGTTGGCAAGGATATGAAACTGGAACTCTCATGAGTGTAAACAGTACATATAGCCACTGTGGAAAACTTTTTGATAGTCTGTTATAAACATACACCTACCCTAGGACTGTGCAATTCGACTTCTAGTTATTTCACAAAAGAAGTGAAAACGTACGTCCACAAAGAATGTTCATAATAACTTTATTTAACAATAGCCCCAAAGTGTAAAAAAAAAAAAAAATGCCCATAAAGAGGAGAAAGGACAAACTGTGGTACGTTCATGCAATGAAACACTACTCAGTAGCAAAAAGCAACAAAACCACGGATCCTGGCACCACATGGATGAAATCTCACGGAAATGCTAAGAACAAGGCCAGACACAAAAGCAAACACAATGTATATTTCATTTACAATAAAATTCAAGAGTAGGCAAAACTAATCTATGACAATAGAAATGAGAAAATGGTTGCTGGAACAGGACCAAGAAAGGAATAAATTCACTGCAAAAGGGCACAAGGGAATTTTGATGGAAGAGTTCTTAACCTGGTTTGGGATAAGGATTACATAGGTGTACAGATTTATCAAAAGTAATTGAACTGTAATTCCAAAATCTATACATTTTACTGTGTACAAGTTATATTTGAATATAAACCATCTTACCTTAAATTAGTATTTAAAAATTTGATTTATCAGGGGGTTCCCTGGCTCTGTTCATAGAGAAGTTTGGTGACTTTTATCTCCATTTACAATAGCCTTGTTCTTTAAGTCAGTTAGCTCTTCAATAGAAAACTTGTATTATTTTTGAATTCACTAAATTTTCTAGTGAAATGCTTCTAATTTTTTTGTCCTAAATTTTTTATTCATTATTCATCATGTTCTACTTGTACATTAGAAGTTAAAGACAGTAATTGCCCATAGTCCGAACACTCCTTTTTAAATATAAAAACAGATGCCTAAACTGATTTGTCTAGGATATTCTTATTCCATCTCAAAAATACATAAAACCTGCATTGTCATCCTTTGGAGATACTAACTGGGCAAACACAACAGCTTAATTTTTAAAGTGGATGTAGATTAGTCAATTAAGTCTGTTCTGACTGGCTACCGAGGAAGCAGTGAACGGGTGTCAGGAAACTGGACTATTTTATACATAAGTACACATTCTATCAGTTACGTTTTTTTCAAAAGCACATTTTCTCTGAACCACGGCATTTCCAAATTCACAAGTGCTCCTGGTTGGCTTTTCATAAACGGTGCATTTCCAGCTGAGGTGTGCTGGTCTTTACAGCTGGTACATTCCTATCAGACCCTTTCCCAGCAGTCATACTGATGATGATCTACAAAACGTGGGTTAAAAACTACATTTTAAAAAACTGCACTCAGTGAAAGGCATAAATGATATCCCTGTACTACAGTGACGGGTAAATACAGTAAAATTTAACTGAAACAAGTTTGGCAGTGCTGGTTGTGATGAAGAGAGAGGCTTAAAATGCTTAAATAAAGGAACACTTTTAATTATATAGGAAAATTTTTATTTGATAAATATAACTTCATAAACTTTAAAAAATTGCTGAGAGCTGTACAATAAGTATACCATATTTACTGGCAATGCAGATAATTTTTAGAGGATTAGACAGCCACAGTGTCTCAGGTCCAAATTTAAGTATTGCTACAGTATTTCTAGATACTCATTCCTCATGAAAATCTAACAATCACCATTATTACAAACATGTCGTTAGTATGGTCTGTTTTTTATAGGAACATCATTCAAGTTATTTCACATAAAACAGCACTTTAATAATGTTTTACTTTTGTGAAAATAGGTAACTCATTTCAAAATAGAAGTAAAATGTCTATAAGTGGGGATCAAAATAAAACATATTTTACCATAACTCTTTGGTGTATTATTTTTATTAATACCTGCTTATATCATACCCCAAACTGATCTTTATGGGAAAAACAGCAACATGGAAGATTTTCCCTTTTCCTACAGCCTCCATGAGATTTTCAGAGTAGCATATTTTTAAAACTTTTGGCTCTTGTCAATCTTCTAGTGGCCTTGACTCCTGCCTATCAGGAGTCTCAAGCTATCAGGTAAGTTCAATCTCACCATCTTTTGCAGTAGAAATGACCTCAGTCCTGGGACTAATAATAATAGGGCTGAATGCAGGCATTTCCTAAGGTTGATTTGCCTCTGTTAAGTCTCCTGTTCAGGATAGTGCCTGGGTGTGGGTCAGGTCTGGAAGCTTTTGTATATCATGAGCTTTACACCCAAGGAAGGCAGAAAATTCAGACCATAAATTCTCCCTTTTTCTCAACTTGACAGCAGATCTTTGTAGCTGTAGTTCTCCCCGGCCCACACTTTGCTTCACCCAGGGTGAGCCTATGCCTGTGAAAGCTGAGGCAGGGTGCTGAGTCACTTAGAGCAGCTGAGGGGCAATTTTGGAAACTGACTTGTGCTTGCCACTATCTTCAGGCTTACAGCCCTCGGACGAGGCAAAGGCAAGCAAGTGAGGCAAACAGATATGAGACCACTGATTAGCAATAACATATTTAGCATTTTGCTCTGGTTTTGGCAGATAAGGGTAAGTTAACTATCAACATCATATTTCCAAAGAATTTTAAAGAAATATGCAAAGGGGATACTTTGTAGTAATAGTTTTACAAGATGAACACAGCAGTAGAAAACTACTGAGAGCTTGCAGACTGCATTGTTACTTTCTTAAATAGAAAACTCTCCTAAAATTACAAGGTAATTTTGCTTTAAAAATGAAATGGATTTGGAGTAACAGTTCAGGATAAGCACAATAGTGGATGCCATTTCTTTTTTTTTAAAAAATAAAGTTCTCCTTAACTTCAAATGGTGAGTAGAGAAAATTACATCGATCACACTTTAAGCACCATTTTAGGTGAGCTGACCTCTTGTCTTGCTGCAGTCGGTCACAGGCTACTTTATGACTTTGGAGTCTTTGTCTAGTGCACTACTCAGTTTATTTGATGGCAAATAAACACTGTAATGTAGATGTAACGCAGGCCTATTGATATCACCTTGCTATGTGTACATTTTATGAGATTTTATGAGCAAATTTCCATATTATCCTCCACTAACGTACTCTACTGAATATATCTGCAGTATGTTCTTTTCTGGAACATGAATTGGTGAATGTACACATTGTATGTTGTATTATTCTTTTAAAGTATTTCCAGAATAACAGATCTTCCTAAATCCAACTATGGAATACCTAAGTTAAAAGACTATTTTTGAAAATTAATATTTAGCTTAATAACTTAATATTCTTGCATCACTGAACAAATGTTACATTAGTAAGAAAAGAGTTTACTAGCAAACAAAGAAAGTCTTAATTTTGGTCTCTACCATACGTTCCCTGCCAGCCCAATTCTAAAAGTCTTATATTCATAAAAAGGGAAGGAAGCTTAGGGCTGCACAATAAATCTCCATAAAGGAATGATATTTTTAAGGGAAAACTTAGTAAAATCTTATTTAACCATTTTCTTAGTAGGCATACAACCATTATTTGCTTAGGGCTGGGTAACGGTTTTTTTTTTCTGGGACAAAGTCTTGCTTTGTCATCCAGGCCGAAGTGCAATGTGAGATCTCAGCTCACTGCAACCTCCACCACCCAGATTCAAGCAATTCTCCTTTCTCAGCCAACTGAGTCACTGGAATTATAGGCTCCTGCCACCATGCCCAGCTTATTTTTGTACAGATGGGGTTTCATAATATTGGTCAGGCTGGTCTCGAACTCTTGACCTCAGGTGATCCGCCCACCTCAGCCTCCCAAAGTGCTAGGATTACAGGCATGAGCCACCACACCCAGCCTTGGGTAATAGTTCTTAAGCTAATAATGACTTCTAAATCTTAAGACAACATTACTTTTCAATAAAACAAAAACAAATGACAACACTGAACCTACCTGATCAATTCGGGATAGAAGTTGGTTCTGAAGTGCAATGAGTTAATTACAGTAACATGGTAACATGTACCCGATGAATCATTCTCAGCATTTTAATTTATTGCTGCCGTTACCTGATACCAGCATTTTAGACTTTAACAATTTACATTCCACAGCCACACCTGAAAATATGCCTTGCACTGGGACACTGGCAGAATTTACTTTATTGTGGGAGTTTCCTATAACTTAAGATAACATAGAGTAACCTGAAAATCAAAAGATTATTAACTGAAACCCTTTATTCTAGAATCTAGCTTACAGGAAGAGCAATTCTAAGTTGGCCACAGAAAGAGGCTCTTCTTCTTTTTATAGATTTAATTACTCATACTATTCTGATTTGTATAATTAAACATATTTGCAATATTTAAATACTGTCCAATCTTTTTATTGATATAAACTTTACAACGATGTCATGAAATACTATACACAGAGCCTTCAGGTGAAGAGAAAAAAAAGCAAATTTAAATATGATAACCAGATTAAAGCATGCAAAAGATCCAATGATAGATATTAAATTCATAATATGCCAATGGTATCTAATTTACCCACTATAGGGTCTTCATATTCTGTCACAGAAATGGTAGTAAACATCAATTTGAAGTTTGGTGAACGGACCTGATTCCTGACTTGTATATATGATACACCCTTGCATTTATATGGCTAACTTTACAGGCTGTGGGTTATAGTACAGTTAGAGGAATTGGTATTGGTAGAAATTTACTCCCCATACTGCCGTAAGTAACAGCTGGAAATGATTCTCCTCATTTGCTCTGTGAACTTAGAACACACTAATGAATTAACAACACAGGTCACTGAGGGACCAAAATTCCTCAGTATTCACATTAACTTTTCCCAGGAAAAGCTTCAAATATAACTCTAATAAAAAAATAGAGTTCTCAAGGCAAACTTTCAGCATAATTTATGAAGCAGATTTAAATAGAAGAGTCAATAAGCAAGCTAATACTAAAAAATACACTTTACTAAGATTTATCTTTTTTTTCTGCATTTATAATAAAATATAATGGCCTCAGCAACAGACTGAAATGCCATCAGGAGTCCCATAAGCACAAGGGACAAACCAGACAGATGAAAAATATCTCTTTATTCTCAAATTTTAACATGTTCAGATTCAAACTGAGGGTGCTGGGAGGGGCTTGTATTAAAGCTTTCTGTTTGTTTGCCATTATAACTCTGGGTATAAACTCCTATAAAGATTTCAGAAATTAATTTCAGAGCTAGTGTGGCCATTAACAGTGATCACACTGAATTTTGGGAAAGGAGGTGAAATGGCTCCCACAAAGTACTATTGCCCCTTTAACAAGTAGATGAGTCCATTGTGGAGAGAGTCAAGATGCTCCTGTCGTTGGTATAGAAAGGATCCGATGCACTCCATGATCTAAAGTAACAATAAGAGAAAAGTTTGGCTCACCAGGACCTATGTTTTAATTGAGAAAAAAATGTAAAACTGAGGACCCAAGTGCAATCACTGACTGATTCATTTAAATGCTAAAGAGAGGTTCTTCATCCTAGTATTGAATGCCCAAACTTTATATTCTATAAAACCTTGGGAAAAATAATGCTCTAGTCATCATATAAAAATATTTGCCAAAATTCAAAGATTCATTAGCATTAAAACAGTTTCAATATGTAGTAAAGCATGAAATGCTTTTAAAATCTTTTACTGAGAAGTTCAGTTTACAAAAACAAACCCAGATCTCACTTACCAAAAGCTTTGGAATGAAATAGTAGTATGTTCCTATCATTTCTTTTCAGCTATAAATCTTATTCTAAAGACTTTAGCATAATTAGCTTGAATGCAGTGAATGACATATCCAAAGTTATCAAAGACATCTGTAGGTCACTAGTGTTTTAACTAAGAACAAACGATTCTCTGCTGGTCTGGAAAAGTTAACGGCTGTCTGAATGATAAGGCCCTAAAGCAATTCATTACATAATATTTTATGTGCAGCTGTAAACTTAAATGAGCTTGAGTTAATTTAAGTGAAAAAAACTCAAGACCAAAAGTGGCCTGCCATGCTTAAAACAGACCAACCTAGTTCAAGGACAAATTAGGATTACCAAGTGAAAGGCTGCTTTCTTCTGAGACTAAACACATTTAACAACAAATACATTTTATGTTTAACTTCTCCAGGGCTCCCACCTTCCCTAAACAGAGATGTTACAGGAAGAGATGAGCACTAAAAATGGCCCCAATTCCAGGCGCGGTGGCTCACGCCTATAATCCCAGCACTTTGGGAGGCTGAGGCGGGTGGATCACAAGGTCAAGAGATCGAGACCATCCTGGTCAACATGGTGAAACCCCGTCTCTACTACAAATACAAAAATTAGCTGGGCATAGTGGCGCACGCCTGTAGTCCCAGCTACTCGGGAGGCTTGAGGCAGGAGAATTGCTTGAACCCAGGAGGCGGAGGTTGTGGTGAGACGATCGCGCCATTGCACTCCTGGTAACAAAAGTGAAACTCCGTCTCAAAAAAAAAAAAAAAAAGGCCCCAATTCACCCTGGTCAAATATTTTCTCTTTCCCAGAGATGCTAAGTTTGTATGTAGCTCAACTTTAATTTGACCACTTTCTAGAAAAGCTTGAACAGGATCTGAGGTCAGGGAAGGGCTTGTTCACTACTGCCTCTCTAGCATCTAGGACTGTGTCTGACACATATTAGGCAACTTGTATTTGTAGAATAAATAAAATGAGAAGATGAAAATTTCTTAAAGAGTAAGTATTTATGGGGGAAAAGTATGCTTTTAACTGTAACAACTATCAATACCCCAATTATCTGGAGTCTGATGTCCAGTTTCAAACTGCCAATACTTTACATGAGTTTTTCTTCTGTCCACATGGCTTACACAGAAGAATCTTATTAGGTAAAGTCTCCTTCGTTTTTAATTTATATAATTTTTGACAGAACACATTAAACACTTCAATTACATATTAACTACTAACAACTTTCTATTTAGAAGATAGTTTTGATTAGGATAAAGTAACTTGTTAGTAATATACAAACAGAAAATCTTTTGTTGCTGAAAAACAGTTCGTTAGGGTACAACATGGCATATCCTTTATATAGCACCATGATGCTCCCTTTGAAACTGAGCCTGCAATACTGGATACTTTTGCTGACAACATCAATTAGTAAAACGTAAGTTGAATTTCTGTGCCTGAATGGTGAAAATTTAACCACCAAGAAATCTGTCATAAAAAAAAACACTGGTGGTATTTCTCAAATGATGCCCATTACTCTCGAGTTTAGTATGTCAATTGGACAAACAGCCAAGGACTTCTACATTTTGCAGTGGCAGTCTCAGCCTTGCCCTACCTTTTCAATTAGACACGAAATAGAAATATAGACTAGATGCTGCTCTAGAGTCAAAATGGAAATGCCCAACACATTTCACAAATATAATTATATGTAAAAAGCAAAAACAGAACTCTATATATCAAAATGACTTTGAAGGTTTAAATATCATCTTACTGCATCTATGGCAATTTTCACATAGCCCTTGAAAAGCACCAGGTAGCTTGGTGTTATCATATGACTTTATCCCCTAGAAAAGAATGAACAGATCTGAAAGGACTTTCTAGATTATTCACATGAGGAAAAAGGTAAGAAAATAATAGTAATATATATAATAGTAAATAATAGTATTAATATAACCTGTGATGTGATATATATAATAGTAAATAATAGTATTAATATAACCTGTGATGCTGGACAAAACTGGAAGGGCATTTATAGTCTGTCAAATATGATACTAATTACTAAGTTAAACATTTTATTAGAATAAAAAAATTCAGACACAAAGAATATAGCCCAATTTTAAGTGAAAAGAAGTAGAGATGATAACAGCTACCTTCAAGAGAACATGTCAAAGTCAATTCAACACCTCCTGGGGCAGGTTCAAAAGGGGTAATGCTGCCTCAAATGGCTACATAAAGAATAGTGCGGGCATATTACCCACATAATTGGCACCAAGAAAATGGATATATGTATACAGCAGAAAAAATTTGGGGCTCATTAAAAATTCTAGTGTTAAGAAAATCATTAACAAAAACGTGTATTGTCATTAAAGAGAAATTTCCATTGAAGCAGAAACTGAAAACATTCTGTAGAGGTTCTACTGCATCTTAGTCTAACTCCTATCTTGAGTCTCTGCAATCAAGCTGTATTATTAGGTAAAATATTATTATAAATCAAGCTCTTCTGGAACTTCCTTTGGGAAACTTGCTGGCCTAGGTACATGACAGAGCTACATTTTATAATACAATTATATAAATCATAACAAAGTCCCAGAGTTTAAGTGCTCACCCTTCTACATGGAATGAAATTACTGCAAAATGGTATCACAGCATTATGGAAATATTTTAGATCATTTTATAATCAAGTCAGAATAAATGGGGATTCAAACCACAGACATTATGTTAACATAAGAATGCTATTTTTAAGTTTAACTGTATCATAAATACACAGTCAGGCTTAAGGTAAAGTGGGAAAGCTCACCAGTAAAAGTTACCTGAATTTTATAATAGATGAATGATATCATACTCGTCGTGTTTTTAAAACACAAAGCTAAGCAAACAATAAAAATCATTTTTTTCAGTAGGTAACAGTATTGCCTTCTTCACTCTTTATAACCTGTTCCTGGGGTAGTTTCCAAGCCCTGGCGCATACAGAAATGGCTGACATTCATGAAGTATGTTTGGGACAAGGGGAACTAACGTCTCTCCCTGCCCATTTGTACCCTCCATGCATACCGTGTACTGCTGCCCTGATGTTGACAGTATGGTATCATTCACCTAAAGAACACCAAGTGCAGAAAAAGCTATTTCTACCCCCTTACATCCTCTAAATAGTGATGTAACTCCTGGGAAAATGTATGAATAAATCAATTCATTGCACATATAAATAAATTTTAAATGGTGTTTACCAAAAGATGGTATTTTTTTGTTATGGTGCATGACAGCAGGCACCTGTTCTAACTCATATATTTTTAATTAGACAGTAAGTACCAAGCAAAAGAAATTAAAAGTAACGACTCATTTCGAAACGTCATTACAGACATAAGAAGAGGCAGGGGAGCAGAAATACAATCTTTTGTGTTTATAAATACCTCAAAACCTCAAATACGTGACTGGAAAATATACATAAAGAGTAAGAAAAGAAAAGCCTTTGGACTTCACTGTTATGTTGAGATTATTTTGTAAGGACAAAAAGCAAAAAGAATAAAAAGTAAAAAGCAGGAAATAGTATATGTATAATTTAAAAAAGTTATACAAACCATAAGAGTACCATATACACATCCTACTGAGCACAGTTTAGAAAGATTATGAAACAATTTTTTATCCATTAGATGAAGTCTCTTCAAAGGTGCTTTCTCTTCCTTTGTGAGTGAAAAAGCGCTAACCCCAAAGCCACAAAGTGAAATCTACCACTAAAGACAGCTAATAAATAGCAGACTTCCTGCTTTAGTTGATAAAAGCAGCTGCTGACTTATTAGGTATCTAGAGCTGCAGGTTCATCCTGTTCCAGATAGGATACTCATTTGCAGCAAAGGCTACTTAGAGAGATTTCACACCTGCTGATGTGGGTCGGACTACATCTTCCCATGACTCGTTCCAGCATTCTTCCAATAGATGCGCACGCTGCTTCTCCTTCCGGGAAACAGCACATGGAGTCCAAGCACTTGATACCTGCATTTGTTTCAGTAAGCTGGGGGAGACGAAGCAGAAAGTATTAGTTGTTTAAAAATCTGGACTTCTGAAAAGCATTACAAAATTACACCAAGCACTTTCAAATCAAAGGTAACATATATAAATACACATTTTTCTATAATATGGGAAATATAAGGGCTTTAATTTACTAGAGTATAACCATCCAAAATTATTTTAAAGCCCTGCATCCTAAATTAGAGGTTTGGTAAAATAATTATATAAATTAAGAAGCTAGATATTATTTAAATCTTTTTCAATATTTTAATCATTTATTATGGTCAAAATGATTTACATCAATCACTCAGGAATGTAATGAATTCTAATTCTTCATGTAGTTTTTGTTTAGGTGAAGTGCTCCTGCAATTTCAATTGAAAATGTCTAGCAACTGAGATAAGTGGAATATGAACTATCTCAAAGACTGGGAAATACCAAGTAGGCAGGACCTAGCCCCAGTCTTAAATAACAACAAGCAAACACTATGTATGCTTTACTAGTGCCAGGTTCTAAGCACTCTATAGATAACCACTCCACACTTATCTTTAAAAAAAGCATCATCTATGATAAATTGCTAAAAACTTTTAAGTGGCAATCATCCCATCATCAGCTCACCCTGCTTTTTAACAGTTAGCCGATGGCACAGAGATTAATATTTAGGAAACAAGTGAACAAGTAGTAGCATTGAGATTTGAAACTGAATTACTTTCTGAGAGTATGCAAGATTTAGGTTGATTCAGGCATAAATAGCCCAGCAAGGTAATTGTATTCCATACTCCTAACAATGTGAACTGAGCTAAAATGAGGGGGAATGGTGTGACCACGCAGCTGGATGAACCCCAACTCTGGTTTTACTTGTCAAGGATGCTCCTACATTTTTCAAGGGCTGTTGGTTTTTTTAAAAAACTTAATTCACTTTCTTTTACATATATAGCATCCTGCATAGCACATCTTTTGAGGATAGAGGAGGAGGAGAGAAATGGAGGGTTGCGCTTCCAGGAAGGTTGGGAATCACCATGTGCAGGGCGCAGGCAACAGAGGACGTTTGTAGAGATGCTCACAACAAATGAGAGAGACAGAGAGGTGGAACAGACACAACCTGGCGTTCTGAATGTAAGCAACGGCTGATGTCCTGCAAGATCCCTGCTCAGAAGATTCTGCCCAACACCACAAAGTGTGAAACAACATGGTTCTTATCTGGCAACTGCCCAAGCACTTGAGAAAGAGCCAAACTTGACTTGTTCTTTCATTACAATACTCTTAGTTTAGGACTGTTTAGGGCAGTTTCTTAAACTGTTTTCTGAGACATTTACAGACATTTCATAAAGAAAAAAAAAGCTTCTGTGTTCAATTAAATTTGGGAAACATCAATTTAACAAAGTTCTAAACAGACTTTTAAAGTAGAGGATTGTCAAGTCAGGACACATGATCATCTGCATGGGGGAAGCCTGAGGTATCTCAATTCTCCCACTCATTTTCTTAGTGGGAGAAATCTACAGCCCCAAACCCCAACCAGGAAACATTAAGCAGCACCAGGAGGATCATTCATATTCAGAGGAATAGTTTAGGAAATGCTGGTTTAGGTAACAGGATTTCATCAGTTTTCCAGTTTCCTCTTTGGGTCCCTGGGCTTCAGTTTTCCCAATCTTAAATCTACCCCTTGTAGCAACCCGGACTCCAGGACTCCAACACGATCAGAGGATAAAGCCCTACACCCATGAAGCCTTGAAGGCTTTCCAGCCTGACCCCAGGCTGCCTTTCCTGCTCTGCTTCCCAGTGCTCTGGTACAGGCTCCACTCCAGCCAACCAGGCAGTGTTCCTGGCCTGTGGGCAAGTGTCAGGGCTTGCCATCAATCAGGGTCAGAATGCTGACCCTACGCCAGGGTTCAGCTTAAATCCCACCGTCTCCATGAAACTTCCCTTACCTCTCCAATTATGAGTCATCTCTTTGTCCGATTCTATTTCACTTATTTGCATCACTTAATTGGCACAAGCACTTAAGCTTCTATTTACTGAGCCAAGGTCCTGTGCCAGTTTCCACAGGAGATACTAACCTGTGCTCAATCAGCTGAGCAAAAGGTAAGGAAGAAGGTTGGAGGCGACAAGTCAAGAAGACACACCAATACAGCAGTTGCGTTAATGGAGTGCTCACCACACATGCCCCAGCGACTACGTAAGATTCTTCTCGCCGACTGTCTCACTGAAAACTTATAACAGCCCTTAGGAATAGGCACCATGATCACCCCCAGTTTACAGATGAGGAAACAGTTAACAATTTGTTCAAGGTCGCCCACGCCAGCGGGGGCTTGAATGCTGTAGAGCCCACCCCCTTTACCATGCCACCATCCTGCCTTCTAAGAGGAAGACTGCTCAGAAAACAGGAGGGAAAGCTCAAACCCAGCTGCCGTTAGTAGACTGGAGGGAGGGCATGAAGATCTGATGGAAAAGGTGGCATTTAAAGTACATCTTAAAGGACTTGGGGGCATTTCAATAGCAGGAGATGGGGAGAAAGGATATTCCAGGCTGGCTGAGGAGAGAAAGTGACTATGTGTGGGCAGCAGTGCAGTGTGTATTCAGCACAAGCTTAGCCTAAGTGTAAGGGAGTGGTACTGTCCCCTTGCAAAAAGACCAGTGGTGACTCAAGGTGTGATCCATGGATCAATGCTGATCCATAAACACTGTTACCAGCCCATAAAGAAATAAGCATTTCTAATCTGTGAGAATAAAAGTTTAGAAATTTTTACAGCAGTTGGACAAAATATGTTTATAACTGTTAAATTCAATAATTTAAAAATTGGAGTTTATGTATCTTTTAGATTTTGTTTTCCTATAATTTATTTTTATTGTATTTGTAAAAGCACTGGCTCAAGATGAACTGGAAATGAAAACAAGAAAATACCAAACTCATCCTTTACCACATTTATTTGGGGATAACTAAACCAGAAACTCAGAAGAGCAAGGATCTTGTCTGACATTTTTTAGTTTAACATGTGTCGACTGGGAGGGATTCATCGAGGATGACACCCAGAAGGGAACCAGCATTTGAATATCCATGTATGTGCAAGACACTGCCCTGGTCTGGATCTGACCTTACGTAATTATGTGCGTTCATCATCTTTCACTTTATCTTACTTTTAGAGACAGGGTCTTCCTCTGTCACCCAAGCTGGAGTGCAGAGGCATGGTCAATCATGGCTCACCGCAGCCTCAACCTCCTGGGCTCAAGCAATCCTTCCACCTCAGCCTCCTGGGTAGCTACTACAGGTGTGCGTCACCATGTCAGGCTAATTTTTAATTTTAGTAGAGACAGGCTCTTACTATAATGCCCAGGCTGGTCTCAAACTCCTGGCCTCCAGTGGTCCTCCCACCTCAGCCTCTCAAAGTGCTGGGCTTACAGGTGTGAGGTGAGCTACTGAGCCTTGTCATCCTTCACTTTAAAACTGAAGGACAGTTATTAAAATAAGGACATCCCAACAGAGAACGTAAACATCTTGAAATGTCAAAAATTTTAAGAAATGACTTCTTCATATCACCTTTTGAACTAAATATATTTTTGTGTCTATATAATTTGTATATGTTTCCTTTTTCCTTTAAAGGAAAAAAAAAAAAAATGAGCTGCTTTTTTTTTTTTTTTTTTTTTTTTTTTGTAACTGAGTCTCATTGTTGCCCAGGCTGGAGTGCAGTGGTGCGATCTCAGTTTACTGCAACCTCCTCCTGGGTTCAAGCAATTTTCATGTCTTAGCCTCCTGAGCAGCTGGGACTACCGGCACGTACCAACACACCCAGCTAATTTTTTGTATTTTAGTACAGACGGGGTTTACCATGTTGCCCAGGCTGGTCCTGATCTCCTGAGCTCAGGCAATCTGCCCACATCAACCTCCCAAAGTGCTAGGATTACAAGCATGAGCCACCACACTCGGCCTCACCTGAACGTCGGCTGTTTCTGTAAAGCCATCTATAGAAAATGCTGTATGTTCTTTAGCAAACCTCCAAGCTCTACTACTTTCCCACATATACATCTTTGATCTCAATATTCAGGAACTGGGAGCTTGGCCAGAATACCTGTGTAGCCATAGCTGCCAATCTAATTGGGGGAAGGGGAATGGAATGGAGCATTTAGAGCTCTTTTCATTCAAAGTAAGGAGAGGAAATCATTACCTTTTTTGGGAGACCACTTAAAAATGACAGTAATGGGAGTGAGAGCATACTGGGTGATACCAAGAGGTCACCTTTAATTTATCAGAAGTTTTGATTGGTAAGCCTCACTTTCTACCACACTTGCTCCCAGGAATGACCATATAATATAGTGCTAAAAAGGCTGTCAAGCAAAACAACTATGTCTATTCAACATGACTACACACAGCTAATACAAATGCTCATCTTCACAGAAACTGCCTTTTGAAATAAATTCTGGCTCACTGCTTTTATTTCCATTATTTTCCTATCAATGACAGTAAACACTTAGATATTTATCTTATTGCTTATACAAAATTACTTTCCTGAAACCTTACAACCTTCCTTAAATCTTATACATTTTAGAAAAATGTCTTACATTTCTAACACTTTTTTAGTCATGCCTATGACATTCTAGCAAATCAAATAAAGGTTTTTGTTTTTGTAAGTTTAGATAATAACTGTCCAACAATTAACCACACTAGGTCTTTTAACCTTAAAGGTGTTTTATTTTTTGAGACAGTGTCTCGCTCTGTTGCTCAAACTGGAGTGCAGAGGCATGATCTCAGCTCACTGCAACCTCTGCCTCAGGGGTTCAAGCAATTCTCCTGCCTCAGCCTCTTAAGGTGCTGGGACTACTGGCATGTGCCACCACGCCCAGCTAATTTTTGTGTTTTTAGTAGAGACAGAGTTTCACCACATTAGCCAGGATGGTCTTGATTTCCTGACCTTGTGATCTGCCCACGTCAGCCTCCCAAAGTGCTGGGATTAAAGGCCACTGCACATGGCCACAGGTGTTTTATAATAATCAAAGTAAGCACCTTGCACAGT